TTAGCATCTAATTTGGAGGTTTGCACTCTATTAGGATGACCAGATGTACCGATTTTAAAGGGACAGTCCTAATATTTGGTGCTTTGTCTTATATGGGTGCCTATTACCCCCCCTACCCCCATCCCTTTTTTTCACACTTACTATCTGGTCACCCTAGCTTACATTCCACCTGCATGCTGCACGCTTGCTTACCTGAGGTTAACTATGGTGCTGTTGAACGCCTGCTATGTCCCATCCCCCCTGGAAGAGGTGGTCGGACTTCTCTTGTGGGTATAGTGAGTTTTATACAGACCGTTTGTAAAATGCATCGGGATCCCGTGCAATGAAAGCTGCTCTGCATCTCCACATTATAGTTATGCCTCCATACATAGTCACAGCTTCTACATAGTCCATCCATACCGCCCTTCTGCATTAAGTCCATTAATGGCTATTAGCCAGGACGGGTAAGGAATGGGGTCCCTAGCCTCTCTTTGTCAGAGGGTGGTGATGGACGGCAGGAGACAGATCACTTGATCATTATCTGTTAGGTTCATTCCCTCTGGGGCACCTGGCATTGGCCACTGTCAGTAGACAGGATACTGGGCTGGATGGACCTTTGGTCTGACCCAGTACGGCCATTCTTATGTTCTTATGTTCTTCTTTATTTAAGACAAAATCAGCAGATCACACATTCTTTTCATGTTAAATTCCTAAATTGCCCTTATTTATTTATTAGAAAAAAACTTTTATATACAGTATATTTCTCCCTCTGATATTTACCTTTCATTTTAAAGAGATAAACAGTGAGGCCAATGAAACAAAACAAAACCACCAGGATCACACTCAGAGCCACCATCCAGGGATTTCCCCTCGGGAAAAATGGATCTGAAAAACAAAACACCCAGGGCTTGCTATAGTTTGGAAGTGGTGACTAAAAGCAGATTTTTTTTCATACAAATACATAAATAGTGCCCAGCAGGATTTGTGTGCGCTAAGAGTGAAAGAATGGCCATGTCTACACTATACAAAAGACCAGAAACTGATTTTAAATATGGTTCCAATCAACACAGTTTTACCACTGATTTAACCTTGAAAACACAGCCCTGATTTAATTCATTGCTATTCAGAAGGCCACAGAGATCAGGGGCAAATTCTCTGCTCATAAAACCCCATTGATTCCAATAGGGTTATACCAGAAAAGAATTTGGCCCTTAGCAGTAAACAATATTCAGAAACTGACAGATGAATTAGCATATTTTTGAAAAATCCACTGTTACCACCCAATATTGGGAAAAACCATAATCACAATTTGTCCAAATATTCGTGCAGCAAATTAACTAATTTCCATTTATTCTTGTGTTCACAGTGATTCAGTCATCTAAACAGGATGGAATTTTCAAATGTGCCTAATGTGTTTTCCACACATGGTATGTGCTCTGATTTAGTGAATCTGGGGCAACCCTCTTATGGGGTCATTCTTAAATTGGTTCAAGAGTTGACAACATATCAGGGTTGCACCAATTTAAATAAATTGATGCACAAAACCTTAACAAATTTATTAAGATGATGTTAAAAAATAGTGAACAGAGTTTGAGCATAGAAGTTTCTGGTTATCAGGGAATCACATACAGATTATTGAGGGTGCAAAGTTTGGTTTAAGATCAGGTGGCATGAGGAATACATAATCTGCAATATCCCCAATTGGGGTAAAAGGTTGATGGGTCAAAGTACAGGCATTGAGATATGAGGGTATGAAGTTCATAGAGTGGCTATGTTCGGGTGTGGAGAATAATGAGTGGATATGATGATGAGGATGGATTGACGCTCATTTGGTGAGATTTAATGTTCAGGGAGTTTATGGTTCCAGTTTACATGATCCAACGGAGAAGGTCACTTGGTCCCTTTCTCGTAGTGAAAGAACGATGTCACTCTGGCTCACGCCTCCTAGTACTGTTGGTGGCCGGTGATGTGCTCAATGTAGATGTCCCTGGACCATCAGATGGCGTCTGAGACCATGAGGCACCGCATGAGACGTGCGTAGCATCGTCCGATCCCACAGGTCCGCAGCACACGCTCATTGCAGGGGTCCCAGGCGCCCAGGGCTCCGACAATCATGGCGTCCATCTGCACCTCGTAGCCCTTTGCTCTCAGGGTGTCAGCCAGGGGTCGTACTTTTCCAGCTTATGAGATTGGGCTTCGCGAAATGCCGGGGTCCTGTTCTTAAAGGAGACCGTGATGTCGACGAGGATGATCTTTTTCTCGGCCTCATTGGTGACAACCATGTCAGGTCGTAGCTGGCTGTTGGTACCAGGGATGGTGCAGTTCATGGAGATCTCCCCCAGGCGTGGTGCGATGGCTTTCACCAGGCGGTTCTGGATGGCGTTGTGGCACAGCTGCCAGGCTCTGGAGTGGGGTTTGCAGCTGCACAGGACGTGGGGCAGGGTCTCATTGGAGTAGCCGCACATCCTGCAACGCTTGTCTCGGTTCCTGTGGCGGACGGCTCCGTTGAGCGGGACACAGTTGAGCCAGGCACGGTGGATGAACTGCCAGTTGGCGAAACGGGTGAAGCTGCCCCCAGCGAGGAAGTGGTTGCTGGCATCCCACTTGCTGGTCAACTCAAAGGCTTTACCCTGGTCCGGTTTACGCTTCAGGGTTTCCACGTACAGCGAGTGGATGGCGGCCTTCAGAGTCCTCTCCAGCAAGCCCCTGGCACTCGGGGTGACGATGGTGTTGTCATCAGACCTGATGTGCAGCACCTGGACTCCCAGGTCCTGGCGCTCCTTGCACCACTCCCAGCGGCAGCCGATGCGCTTCCCCAGGCGACACATGGCGTTGCAAGTGCGGGACCACAGTGAAACGATGTTGCACCCATCTCATCCGAATTCCCCATCCAGGGAGCTGCTCAGGAATGTGGCGATGTCTTGGTTGGAGGGGGCTCTGCTGATCCGCTTCTCTGTCACATCACGCAGGGTGTTCGCTGCTATGTTCCTTACCGTGGCATTGGGACATGTCAGCAGGCAGAAGGCCTGGGTGATCACTGCGACGTCACACAGGTCACCTATGCGGGGGACGTTGGCGCCGCTGTGCCTGTGGGCGATGTAGACCAGCTCGTTGCTGGCTCTCTGGGGAAGGAACAGCCACTTCTTCACCAGCTTCTGGATGATCTTGTCTGCCTTGTTGAGGGGCACCTTCATCACAGTGGATCCCTTTAGGGTGAACGAGATGCGTGGGATCAGAAAGGTGTTCAGGGCATTTATCTTCTGCCACGATGCCAGTAGGGAGGCATCAATCTTGGCGGCGTCCTGCAAGATCTCCTGGATGGTGTCCTTGGGTGTCTGCCGGACACGGAAACCTGTTGACGTGCCCAGGTGCTGGTATGCCTGCCCCTCTGCCAGGGGGATGACGGGCTCACCCTGGATCTGGAACCCCGTTGCCTGCACCGAGTCCCTTTTGCTGCCGTCAATGTGCAGAGTTGCGCACTTCTTTGCATTGAAGCGCAGCCCCATCCAGTCAGTAGCTCGGCTGGTGGCATCTAGCATACCTTGGAGGCTCTCTGGGTCATCTGCGGTCAGGACCAGATCGTCTGCGTAGGCCAGAATGCTGATTTTCTTGCCGTGCAGGTTGAAGCTGGTCAGGCCGCTGGAGATGGCTCGGATGAGTGGTTCCATGGCTAGGTTGAAGATGATGAGGCTAAGGGGGCATCCTTGTTTCATGCCATGGCAGATGGGAATGGCGTCCGTCTCTCTGTCCATGGTGCAGATGGTGGTGGTGCAGTCCTTGTAGAGGCCCCGGAGGAACTGGATGAAGGTTTCTGGCATCCCGAACTCTCCCAGGGTGGTAAAGATGTGATGGTGGGGTATGGACCCAAAGGCGTTGGTCAGTTCAAGCCATGCTACTGCACACTGCCTCTTGGACCTCCTGGCCTCCTGGATGGCCGTCTGAAGGAGGAAGTTGTGCTCATACATCCCTCACAGGACATGAAACCCTTCTGCAATGAGCTGACGGCGCCCCCGCACACTGACCAGTCTGTGATCCTTGCCGCGAGGCAGCTGGCATACAGCTTGTAGATGGTGGAGCAGAGGGAGATGGGTCTCCAGTTGCCGGGGTCATCTCATTCGCCTTTTTTGTGGATGAGCATGGTCGGACTTCTTCCAGGAGCGGAGAACGCGATGGAACTGCTTGCATTTGTTGAAGATGGCAGCGAGCACCAAGCAGCCGGGGTCTTGCTTCTTCAGCAGGGGGTAGCGGATGCCATCTTTTCCAGGGGCAGTGAAACTGCCAGATGAATTAGCATATTTTTGAAAAATCCACTGTTACCTCCTAATATTGGGAAAAACCATTATCACAATTTGTTCAAATATTTGTGCAGCAAATTAACTAATTTCCATTTACTCTTCTTGTGTTCACAGTGATTCAGTCATCTAAACAGGATGGAATTTTCAAATGTGCCTATTGTCTTTTCCACACATGGTTTGTGCTCTGATTTAGTGAATCTGGGGCAACCCTCTTATGGGGTCATTCTTAAATTGATTCAAGAGTTGACAACATCTCAGGGTTGCACCAATTTAAATAAATTGATGCACAAAACCTTAAATAATAAATCAGCTTCATAGTGCTCTATCTCCATTTAGCTGAAGTCAATAAAGAATTGACTGAAGCAAAATCTATTTAGGGCACTCTGAAACTTGTACAAATATAAGTAGAGTCAGAATGAGCTCTACCCTGACATATGATGGTGAGTTGTGGGAAAGGACTTCAGGGGCTGATCTCATTTGCATGGGCACACCCACCCTACCTAGCTTGATGGACTGCTTGTCCAAATGGTCACTTTGGCTGCTGTGGGATCCCCAGCCTCTTTGTTATTGGGGCAGAAGGAATAAAGTGTTTGTATCCTGATTATGTGAATCAAGGACAGTAGAACTGTACTTGGCATTTTATGATGAAGAGACTCGCTCTCAACTGAGTAGCACTCACTTGGGAAGGGACATGGGTCCCAAAGCCCAGTGAACTGAGAAAGGGTAGAAGATGTGGTGGTATTTCTGTGCAATAACAGAGCTAATATTGACTTCAGTAGAAGTCTTGTTACATGCTATAGAGCTGAAATCACTGATTTATAGGTCTATGCATTAGCTCTACTTTATGCTAGTGGTTCTGAGTGTGATAGTATTGGGGTCCCCCTACTAACAGCTGAAGTTATTGTGACCTGTGTTAAGTAGAGGGGGCCTGAAAATATATTGGTAAGTGGCTAGCAGAATTGCTAATAGAGAGGTGTGGCTAGCAGGATGGATGGTGGAAAGGTGCAGCTGGTGGTGAAGACTGCAGCAGATCCCCATAGAGAGGTGTGGCAGTTGGCTGTTGACCTGAGCAGCAGAGCATGTAAGATATCCCCATACCTTTCCCCCACTTCCCCCCAGGCTGGGAGGTAAACTCTGCAAATGAACTTCTGAACTCTGGGTGCTGCACTGACTGAGGACAAAAACTGTGGGAGGGGTGACTTTTGGGTTGCTGAACTCAAGACCCTAAGGGGAAAAGGGCACTGCCAAACTTACTTGGGGGTGGGTCTTTTGCTCATGGTTTGTCTTATGAATCCTGCTTCTGATGTTTCCCCAACATAATGCCGCATTGTTTCACTCCTTTATTAAAAGACTTTTGCTACATTCAGACTCCGTGCTTGCAGGAGGGGAAGTATTGCCTCTTAGATGCGCACAGGGGGGTGGTATGTAATTGTTCCAGGTCACTGGGTGGCAGCTCCAGCCAGTTTTGCATTGTGTTATTGAAACGGAACCCCTAGTTACCGAACCCGGCCCTTGTTGCTGCCAACTCTGATGGGCAGAAGGGTTACAGAAGAAGTATTCACACAAGTGGGTGGCATCGATTAACTAGTTAATCAGTGCATCTTTTATGTGTAGACAAGGGGTAAAATGAGTCCTTTTGTGGATCCAGATCAAAGTGAATTAAGGAGCACAAGTCCCATTGAACATCAGTAAAAACAACATCACATGACTTAGGTGACATTTCACACAAGTAATGAAGTTGGTGAAGTGAAGAGATCACTAGAGCCCTGTGTGGATACAAAATTGGTATCCGCATCCAATCTGCAAACCAAACGAAATGATGAGGATATCTATGGATATATATCTGTGGGTTTACAGGGCAAAACAGATCACAATCAAGCCAGAGTACAAAATTTATCACATTCAAAAAAATCATTATGGTGAATTTAAGGTTACAGGAACCTACTGAATCAGTGGATTGAGTGAAAGTTTCCTCTCAAAACATGTATGGTCTGAATACTCACAGTTAAGGGGATCAAGTTGCATAAACTGTGACCCTGTAAAGACACTAGCCTCCCATCTTCTGTGTTTGTACGTGGATTATGAAATATCCACCACAGATGTTTCAGTTCTTTTCTTCCTATGTTTTGTTTTGTTTCTGGTGGTGGTGAGTTCAGTGTGGGATTTGGATGGTAACTGACCTGCTATATAAACTGCTGATTCCTTCTCTTGATTGAGAACGGCGTTCCTGATGCAACAGGACAAGTTCTGGTTTGAATGTTCTGTTACAATGAGAGCAGTTTCTGTTTCAAACAGGCGGTTATCTCCTTGGGATGTTGTTTCAGAGAGTGATGGTAAACGTCGCCCATTGAAACCTTTCCATAGCGCCTCAGGCTCTGGGTACCAACCAGCTGATCGACAAACCACCCGAATCCCTCCATCCTGGTGACCTTCAACAGAAATCAGAGGAGCAGAGCCCAGACCTAAGGGGAAAATATATAAGGATGTTAATTCCATACATTAATTTATAAAGCTGAAGGATGAGGGACAGTTTGGGGATCCCTTACTCACATGAGAATGCACTAATTCATGCGGGTAGTCAGTAGAAGGGATAAATGAATACTGGAATGTCTGAAATCCCAGTGTTCATGGACACACAAAAATGAGAACAAATATATAAAATAATTCCACTGAGTCACTGGGAGATATTGTTGGCTCAAGACAGCAGCAACTGAGTGCTAACACCTTTGGAAATATGACCACATAGATACCTGAATAGGATCTGAACTTTTGAAACTCTGATAATTAGTGCTTTAGATAGAATTTTTTTTTAAATCAAATTGGCTTCATGGTTATGTTGTCAAAGCAGCAAGGAAGAAATGCTCAGTCTTGACTAAGAGTGGTAAATACATAATTTCCCCTTCCCACTAGGACACTCTGCAATCCATATACACCATATGATGATGTTATGATTATGATATAATTACGTAGTATCTTGTACAAGATGTGTCAAATAGGATGTCAATGGAAAAGTTATGATTTGCTGAATATGATTATCCTATTTGAATGCATGTATCATTTTTGTATCTGGAGTTATGAATATTGACTATGCATCTGTATTTCAAATGTGCTTATCCTGGGTAACACCCACAACTAGCCTTTCAGGTACAACAATGAAGAAGCTAGACAGGGCTAATGGCTCATCAGCAAAAACCATGAGCCATGGAAAAGGCTTGTCCTCACTGGAAGACACTTCAGACAGCCTATGGATAATGCCTGCCATGACTCATCAAGAATGCAGGCACATGTGACTAGATAACATGATACTGAATTCCTTTTAGGTACCTATATTTTTCCACAAACTGGGCTGGGAACCTGGCTTGGAACAAAGGGGTTCCTGCCATATGAAAGAAACTGTAAAAGGTTGAAGTGACATCACCAATGGGCCTCACTTTCCCCACAACTCAACTCCTGGATATACCTCTGGAAGAGTTCAGACTTTGAACTGGGGAAGTGATGGTCACAGGTGGGAAAGATGGAAACCCTGCCTGTGTATTAAACATCTACAAACTGCTTGTACTATCTAACAGGGTGAGACACTGTTTGATTCAAATCCTGGGTGGTATATTAGGCTTAGACTGGGTTTTTGTTTATTTGCTTAATAATAGACTTTGATCTGTTTGCTTTCACTTATAATCACTTAAAATCTTTCTGCAGTTAATAAATCTCTTCTATATTTTTTTTACCTAAAACAGTGTGGTTTGAGTGAAGTGTTTGGGCAAAATCTCAGCTCAGTTAACAAAGATTTTGTGCATATTCCTCTCCACATTGAGGGAGGGGAAAACTGGGTAATTATAATAATCTTTACTGGTCAGGCTTTTGACCAGGGCAGGATGGTACAGATCTAGGGTCCAAGGTTGGGAAGCTGGGGGCGTGTTTTGGCTGAAGCCTCACTATTGTTGGTTCATAAGTGCCTGGCCAGATGCATTCATGCACACAGCTTGGTGTGGTCCCTGCCTGTGGATGTTGGTGTGAGTGCAAATGTGGAGGGCTTTACAGCTTGTCATAATGTCACACTGCAAGAAGGATCCCAGATTGGTGAGACAGAGGGCTCAGCTGTAACCCAGTTCCAGGTCGTACCCCGGGGGGAACCCATCACACCCACCATCACCATTATATAGTCTCAGCAAATAAGAACACTGCATTTGATTTTAACTACACCCCTAAATAACAACCAACCGATCAGAAGGCCATAAAAGTCTGTCAGTCCCACCTTAGCCATACATCCTAGAAATGATTCCAGAGCATCTGGAAGGCCATATTTGTCCAGAAGTCCTTTCCCTCTTAACTGAAGACCCCTTTTGGGAGTCAATCAAGATTGGGCAAGAAAGTGCCTTGACCATCCTGAAAATCTTTTAACAACATGTTGGGAAAGTTTTCAGCATATTTTCCCAAGTATGGAAGTGGCTGTTTGCAGAAATTTAGATACACTGTGTTATTGTAAAATATTTCACAAGCAGGGAGTCACAGTTGTTGTAATAGGAAAGACCACACAAAGCTAAAACTGACACAAGGCACTGACCTGCTACCCGCAGTTCCAATATGGCTTCTTCATAAAAAGTATCATCTTGAACAAAACAGAGGTATTTTCCTTCATCAGAGCGTCTGATATTGAGAAGCCTCAAGTGAACATTTCCATCTGTGAGTTCGGCTTTCAAAAGCTCTGTCCTTCCCTGATACTCTGGTATCTGCTCTTCATACTGATCCATCCCATCACGATACAGGTGCACAATGGTTAAAAACTCGGAGCGGAACCATCTCACTTCCATGTTTGCAGCACTCATCCGGGGGGACAGGTGACAGGGTAACACAGTTTCCTGACCCAGGATGGCAGTGACAGGGTCACGGGGTCCAATCACTGTGAACTTTGCTGGAAATGCACCAGGACAACAACAACAACAATATGATATGAAGGACACAGCCAAGAGGTTCCATTTCAGATAAACTTTCCAAAAACTTCAGCCAGGGACAGACACGCACCATGGAACATTTCAGCCTGAATGCTTCAGAGAGAGCAGTGCTCATGGGCAGGGGGACTGGGGCTTTGTTATAAGAACTCAGTCTGCATGTATGGCACAGCACACAGCACTGAGATGGGGCGTGGAGCTGACAACAGGCAAGCTTGGCACATGACCCAGACACAGATCATGGGACAGAGAGTGGGGAGCTAAGAATTGGTAGGTTCAGTACATGACAGAGGCACACACTGCTGACATGGGGTGGGAAGCTGAAGACAGGTGTATTCAGTCCATGTCACAGTCACACATCAGAGAAACTGAGGCAGGGAGCTGAGAATGGACATGCTTAGTGTATAGTTGAGAGAAACTTACTGTTTAACAGCCCATTTTTCTAAATGCTCTCAAATTGACACCCTTACTGACTTTGCATTAAATTTGCTGGGCCTCAGCAGGAATAAGGGTAGGGTTGGTGGGCCATATTTGGTGTTCTTTCACCAAGGTATTCCTGAGCCATACCCCTATTGCTATAGCCAATTTGGGGGCTATTATGGTTCAATACTTCACATGCTCAAGAAACCAAGTAACCAAATGTAGTGAAAATTATTGCCTAAAGACAAAACAGTGCACTACGGAAAGGAGACATCCATACCCTCCTCCTGGGAAGCAATTCTTATCTCACAGTATGCCCTCCAAACCCACTTATAAAATGGCTGTTTACAAGTGAAAAAGCACTTTATACATCACCTAAGATCCAACTCACCAGTTCCTTAACTTGTTGTTCTGTACCTTCCTTAACCCTGTTTTGGACACCACATTCCAAACCAGGTGGGTGTAGAGGTACATCCCAACCAGTGCTAGGACAAACCATTCATGGCTTTGATAGGCTTCCTATTTTCTATTGTGAACACTAACTTCGGTGTTGTGGGATATTAGATATTGGTGAACAGAATTGTGGGAAGAGCATAATACAGTCAGTTAACTTAACGTCCCAACACACTCTCTCTCTCTAATGTATATTATAGCACTACTGTGCACATAATGCCTAATAATATGGTGTATACTGCACCTAACATATATGTATTAGCTAACAGGCCCAATTAAAAAAGTCACATGACATCAATATATTCTGGTTTTTCTTATGTTTTTGTGCACATTAGTCTCAAACTATGGCTCTGATGTTTTTTACATCTGAAACCCACTACGTTATTTGATTTTATTATTTCTTATTGTTATTATTAAACTCTTCAATAAGTGTCCACCAAATTCCCTGGGCATCTTTGACAAT